CTACTTAAAATTGTCCAATGATTTAAATGAAAATTGAGACACCTTTACATGGCTCAATCTGGCCCCTACCTTTCTGTCCTCATACTACTCTCCCTTTCACCTACTGTGCTAGAGCCAAATTGGTGTTCTCTTGATCATACTGTGCTCATTTCCACCTTAGGACCAATGTGCTTCCCTGGAATGCTCTTCATCTTGATCTTTACATGAATGACTCCTCAGTATTGTTTCAGATTTCACCTCAAATGTTCCCCTCTGAATGAGGCCTTTTCTGCTCATCCAATGTGAAATAGACCCTTAACTCTGCTTAATTTTTTTTGTAGCACTTATCACTATCTGAAATTATCTTGCTTATTTGATTATCTCCTCCCACTAGAACAATACATGTTGAAGGTAGTGACCTTACCAGTTTTGTTCACTGATGTATCCTCAGTGACTATAAGAGGGCCTAACTTAATAACTGGATGAAAGTTGTAATTGTGACCATAGCTGTGTCCCTACGAATTCATTTGAGTAATATAACTAATTTTGTTTCATTTTGTTGCCCAGGAGCAGTAAATTAGGGCACTACCAACTCTGCCAGATTTTCCTAAGAAATCAAATTACCCCGATAAAAAAGTTTCTCTTGCCTATGACTACAAATGATATCAAATGCTTTTATGTAGTTTTTAAAATAGTACAGGGATATTTATTTATTCATTAAATGATTATAGAATGTTTATTATTTCCAGACATTGTTTTGGATACTGGGGATAAAAAGATTGATAAGACATATTCTTTTACTACTAGAGGATCATATTCTAGTGGAGGGAATAGATATACTCATAATTATTAAAGAATGTAACTGCAGTGATAGAGGTATGCAAAAGGTATGATACGAACACAGAAGGGACATCCGTCCACATCTCGGGAGTTCAGAAAAGACCTCATTTGTGTTTTAATCAATGAGTAACAGGTAGACAGATTAAGTGAGATTCGATGAGAGAAAGAGGAGGAGGCTATTTAAGAGCACGATGTGAATGCACAGAGAAATAAAACTGTCTAAGAAGCTAACTCAACTAGAGAGAGAGGAAGGGGCTAGACTAGAGCAGGCTTTGTAGGACATGCTACGGAGGTTGGATTTTGTCCTTTAAGTAGGTAACAGGATGCCACTGAAGAGTTTTAAATAAGGGAGCAGCATGGTCATAACTGCTTTCAAAACAATGATCTGGCACTGTAGCGTAGAGGATAGTTTGGAGAGACAAAGCTTGAGGCAGAGAGCAGTTAAGAGACATGTAATGATCTAGGTGAAGGATACTGGGGCTGAACCACCAAGGCTGTGATGGTAGGAATGAGGATAGTAGAGGGGACATTTGACAAATATTTAGGAGATTAAATTGACTGGACCTGTCGATTAGATTTGGGATTAAAGCGAGAGGATGGAGTCTGGGATGCTTTCCAGTTTAGCTCTACTGACTGAATGGATGGTAATGTCACTCACCCAGCCCCACCTGCCAAGGAACAGAAAGATGGCAGGGCAGATTTTGTGGGGGAGGTAATGATTCTTGGTTTTTGACAAGTAGTTCAAATGCTCAATTGGGGGACATTTTGGTAATGATTCCTGCATGTTTTTGCTGCAAGACATTCCTGAGATTGTCAGTTTTATTGTTAGTTGAGCTAAAGTTATCCTAGAATTCTGAAAATACCCAGTTATTAATATTGCACAATATCTAAGCCAGAAAGACTTTAATTGATAGTTCACCAGCAATGAGGAGCTGTGTCTATTATAGTCTTTTAAATTAGTTGCTTGCTTATGTTGTGATTTGATTAGATAAAAACTAATGGTATAGAATCATGTAGCCAACATATGGATATGATTACTTTCTAAAACAAATTCATATAATTGTTTTAAATAAATTATCCATGCCTTGGTGTTTCTTCATTTGTAAAAAGGAGGTGATAATAATTACCATCTATCATAAAAAGTCTTGGAAGTGGG